CGCAAAAGACAAACTTTTGCACTTGAACAAAGAGGGGGTGAAATCCCAGGTCCGTAGCCTGAAGTCTCTAAAAAGTGGTGTAAATCTGCTCCTTTCAACACCCAATGCTAACATTCAGCTCCAGCAAGGCGAGATTACATAGAACCTTGCTAGCATCAGTTATCCTAATAACCACCACAAACATGTCCAATTCTGAACTACGTGGAAAACACATCTCAGTTCTGTTGCTGTTTTGCCTAACTTTGAACAAATCTCCATGACCTGAAGCGACAGTCCAAAAAAATGTGTGTAATTTTCCTACCGTTTTACATCAGCATTTCAAAGTTATATTACAAAGTGACACGAGCACTTCTGTAAAGGGATGGATTCTACAACACTGAGGTTTAATATGAGAAACAAGATACACCACTCTTAGGAGAAGGAACATGTGACCCGGGAAGATCTTTGCTTAGAATGCCTGAAAAACCCAGTCATGGCCAGAAAGGAAGAAGAGGAAATTAGAGGTACAGAAATCACCAGCAGGAGAAAGACAAGTCATTAAACACTAGTTTGGCTTCTTTTCCCCTCTCTGTGATGAGAGAAAGTGTCAGACACAGTGCCCTACTTGCAAAGCAGTGGATATATGAAAAACTTACCAACTGTGGTGTTAACCTGTATTCTGGAGGTATTGTATCATCACGTTCTCCAACCTTCTCTTCTTTTTTCTCTTTAGCTTTTGCCTTAAAAAGAAAGAACAAAAAAACATGTAGAGAAATTAAAATAAAAGCTCAAAATACACTCAATTTCACCAAGAAGATTCTTCATACTACTGCGTGCAGAAGAAGTAGCATCAGGCAAAATCATTCCATATATCAAGACCCTAAAATTCCTCAGTTTATTCCTATCAAATGTCTGTGGTAAAATCATAATGGTTTAAGATTCAACACCATTGGTGAATATGGCTATAGTGCTTTAAATCCTAAACCACTTTAGACACTATTCAGAGCTCTGACTTTGCAGCAAGTCCCTTTAGAATGTTTGTGTGTACAAAATCCTGAGGTTTTCTTGCATTTCATCACTCTGATTGCACAAAATATAATTCTGTATCTCTTTCCATCACTGGTACCCAACACAGATTTTAATTCTCTGGACCTTCTTCATGAAGCAAGGCATCCACTGAGGTATCTGAATGTCCAGACTCACTGAATGAGCAATATGACAAGCTTGTTTTTGTCAAAATTGAGCTTGGTAACAAAGGATTTTCTACTATTCTACTATTTTGTCATTTGTTTGCTCTGGGCTGTAAGTGAAGACACAAAACCCCTGTTATTAGTGTGCTTACAGGTAGAGTTTGCAAGACTGAACTAAAAAGTTAACATACACAGGGTTACTGTTAAAAATCTACCTGTTGAAGGAAAATGAAACTCTTAACAGAGAGAGTAGTCAGGCATTGGAATGTGCTGCCGAGGGAGGTGGTGGATTCACCATCCCTGGAGGCTTCTGAGACTGGATGTGGCACTTAGTGCCATGGTCTAGTAACCACAGTAGGGTTGGACTTGATGATCTTGGAGGTCTTTTTCAATCTGGCTGATTCTATGATTCTATGACTCAAATTAGAAAGAAATGGGGTTTGGAGTATAAAGAAGCACATGTATGAAACCCCCCAGAAGTTAATTAAATATCAAACAACAAATATGCGCAAAATTAAAGCCTGCTATAAATTGCACCTGGTGCTGGGGAATAAAAACTCCAGAGCAACTGCAGCTAACACAGGGAAAGGGGCATATCTGTCTACTTGTATAGCCAAATCATAGAATCAACTGGCTTGGAAAAGTCCTCCAAGATCATCAAGTCCAACCCTACCATGGTTACTAGACCATGGCACTAAGTGCCACATCCAGTTTCATTCTGAAAACCTCCAGGAACAGTGAATCCACCACCTCCCTGGGCAGCACATTCCAATGCCTGATCACTCTCTCTGTAAAACGTCTCTTTCAGACCATCTCATCTTACTGTGTTCTACTCTACCTGTATCCACCCAGGATTTTTAATTTTCTGAATCACTGATGACTCACACATTCTTTAGGCCTCACATAGGTACATTGCTTTCTTGATATTTTACCCATTTGTACAGTATCTAACACAGAGGACTCAGGATTCCACAGCAGAGCCTGAAAGCCAGGGTAAAAGTCAGTAAGATGTTACCTCTGACACCTCTACAACAGGGGTAGGATCTTCTTCAGGTTCAGGTTCAGGTCCTCCAAGAGTATCAAGAAGAGCTTCCATTGCATCATCTTTCATTTCCTGTAATCAAGAAAATACACAATTATTTCTTTAAACTGGCACAGGTTTTACCTTACATATCTTTATGTTGTGTATGAAGAAAACAGTTGGCACCAGACTGATCACTCTGGTTTGGCTTTACTCAACTTGCTTAACATCAAATGATGACACAATTAGCACAGTCTAATCAAGACACAGCTTCTCCTAAGGAGTTAAGAAAAAAAAGTAAAACCAAATAAAACATAGTGTCACAATGTCATGTAACACAACTATCAGAAGCTTTGATATGGCAAACTGAGAAAGTGCAAGATCACATTTGCCCCATACAGAGGAAAAAGGAAAGGTTTGCAAAGTGTAAAAAAGCTACATCATATCCAAGTTTTAAACACCTGTCACATAGCTAAGAAAACTGTTACATATTTCTACTCTACTGCCTCTGGTCAGAAGAATCACAGTTATTCTACAGAAAAATCCAGAAGGAAAATAATCTGACCCACTAAGGTTAGACCTTTAAGATACAGTGGAGTCTGAGCAGTAACAATTCCTGTTATCCCTATACTTTCTGTGATAAAGAGGATTTACAACTGAAAATGTGAATGAAGAGCATCTTTATGAGACCAGGCACACATAATGTGGCATATGCTTGTAAATTTAATTACAAGTTAACTAGCGAGAGAAGGACAATATTTACCTCTTTTGGCTTTGTTTTCTTCTCCTTTGGAGGAGGAACTGAGGCCTTGACTGAACTTGCTGCTTGTGCTCGCACAATTTCTCCTTCCTTATTCGGTTTCTATGAAAGAGATGAAATTACAGGCACATTTTCAAAAGTGAAAAAGAGTGGAAAACTGTCAATACTACTTCGAAGTGAAACATGAAGATAATGGCACAGTAATCAAGATAACAGTGGCAATGCAATAAAGGAATGCAATGGGAGGAAGAGTATCAATACCTCTGTCAGACTTGTCTTCTTTTCTTGGGCAGAAGCAGTACTACAGGTAAAATCTGATGACAAGGCCTCTGCAAGCTCATCCTCTGTCATGGGTTTCTGAGCAAGAAATTGCAAACTAAGTTATGACTACAAAAGTTCAAATTTCAACACTATTAAGCTTGGTTTAGAATCTGACTGTCCTCCACTCTTACTCACACAATGACTTCACTGGCACATGTTCCTGTCACAGTAAGAAGTAACGATACCTTCCCTCCCTGGCTGGTTGGTTTTTCAGATAAGCTCTTATTGTGATGTGTCAAACTTATAAACAGCAAAGTTAAGCTGGTTGACAAAATTCACTTGCTAAGTGTAGAAATTCAAGTAGTCTTTGCTACAGACATTACAAAGAGACTCCTGCACGCAGAGTTACTAACTCTCCCTTCTGTTATAAGCATGTCTTTGGTTGACAACCGTTTGCTGACAATTTGGATGAGGAGATTGCATCATCAGCAAGTTTGCAGATGACACAAAACTGGGGGGGAGTGTGGATCTGCTGGAAGGCAGGAGGGCTCTGCAGAGGGACCTGGATAGGCTGGAGAGATGGGCTGATTCCAAGGGGATGAGGTTTAACAAGGCCAAGTGCTGGTCCTGCACTTTAGCCATACCAATCCCATGCAGAGCTCCAGGCTGGGGACAGAGTGGCTGGAGAGCAGCCAGGCAGAAAGGAACCTGGGAGTCGGGATAGACAGAAAGCTGAACAGGAGCCAGCAGTGTGCTCAGGTGGCCAAGAAGGCCAATGGCATCCTGGCCTGGATCAGGAACAGCGTGGTCAGCAGGACCAGGGAGGTGATTCTGCCCCTGGACTTGGCACTGGTGAGGCCACACCTTGAGTACTGTGTGCAGTTCTGGGCCCTTCAAGTACCAAGACAATCTGTACCTTGCACAAGTCACACTTGCACTCGAGAACAAGTGCCATGAGGAGAGGCGGAGGGAGCTGGGGGTGTTCAGCCTGGAGAAGAGGAGGCTCAGGGGAGACCTTATCATCCTCTACAACTCCCTGACAGGAGGTTGGAGTCAGGTGGGGGTTGGTCTCTTCTCCCAGGCAACCAGCAGGAGGACAAGAGGGCACAGACTCAAGCTCTGCCAGGGGAAGAGGTTTAGGTTAGATATTAGGAAGAGATTTTTTATGGAGAGAGTGATCAGGCATTAGAATGTGCTGCCCAGGGAGCTGGTGTATTCACCATCCCTGGAGTTTTTCAAATGAGACTGGATGTGGCACTTAGTGCCATGGTCTAGTGACCACGGTAGGGTTGGACTTGATGATCTTGGAGGACTTTTCCAACCCAGTTGATTCTATGATTCTATGTCAAATATCTCTGTAAGCAATTATTAGACTCATTTCAGCTTCAGTGTCCTGAAAACTCTAAAACAGTTATAAAAGACATGTGTGCCAAATTCCACCTAATTTTATCAGTAGCTATGCTATCTAGCACCCCACATCCCTCTCACCCTTCCTGGGATTTTTGGAAGACAGGACACATTTACATTTTCCTAGGAATCCAGTGATAACTGGGTTATTTTCAACGGGGTTATTTTTTCATACTGGAAGGTGAAGATAAGTCTTACTTCATCTCGTTCATTTGCTTTTGGTGGGATTCCATCTTTGCCATTCCCTTTTCCCTAAAATGAGAATTAATTTTGTAGTCAATGGGAAGCAAAAACATGCAACATAAAAGAAAACACGCATGAGGAATGAGTATTTGTAACTCACTAACCTTCAACAATTTGACATACTCTGGAGGGAGACTACCTTCCCGCTTACCCATTTCTTCCAGGTATCTTGAAGATATATCTTCCTATGAAAAGAATGCACACATTAACATTTGTGTACTGCTCCTCATTGAAATAAGTGTCTAATCACCTGTAGCGATACTTCTGGAAACAAATGAGAATGTTGGCTAGGTCAGAGGGCTGATCCTGGACTGTGATAATATAGTGCCTTTCAGTACCTAGTGTCGTGTACATGCCTCTTGACTAGCTTCAACAGGGCTCATCATCTAGCAGAACTCTGCATCTTCTCTGCATTAATTTAAGCCATTTCAGACCACCGGATATATTGCCATACCTAGACTGATTTATAAATACCTATCATGGCTGAGTCCTGTATTGAGCCACTGAGCTTGCACTCTTAATTCTTCTCATGTGACTCTCCCATTCAAACTCAGAAAGGTATGCATTCCTCCCCGAATTCTCTCTGTTTTACTCCTTCTCCAGGAGAAATGAAATCTCCTAGGCTGTTTACACTCTCTTATACTTCCCTCCATCACTTCTGTAAATCCACTGGAGACCATGCTTGGAAGTCAGCTCAAAGAGCAACAAACATACTTTGTAGGCACTTTACTGTTTTCTGTTGCAACAGATCGGAAACTGAATCATTTCTATTTACTGAAGCAACATTAAAATGTAACTGTGCACACTCTGTTTTAACTCTGAGCAGATCACAGCGACCAATACTGGATCAATGTAGTAGTGAGCAACTAGAGACACAATTTAGAGATGAATCTTATAAGAAATGAAAATATAAGGTGTAGAATACCGTAACTTCTGGACCAGTGTAAACAGGAGTAGGAGGCACATCTTCTTCTGGTCCACCTAGGGTATCTATTAGGCTATCGAGTGCTGACTCATCCATACGAGGCTAAAAAACAAGCAAACCATTGTAGTAAGTTACCATGCGGTACACAGGGAAAAAAAATACATCTGAATCATCTGATGAATCTGTAAAAGACTCCTGGAAACCAAACCAGAAGCTTTCCTTCAGTAGGATATGCACTTGCCAAATTTTTTAGTGAGAACTGTTCTTAAACTGGTTCTGCAGTGTCAGTAAAAAAGATCATTTGTGTTTCTATATCAGCTGATACATATGCACATATATGCAAACATAGCTGAAGATAGTAATTAATGTTATGCTAGTTGTGGTGGAAGTGATTCTAAAGACATTCTATTTGACAAACCACAAAGGACACACCACTAGTTTTTTACCTATTCTTTCAGATGGCACTTCATCACCACACAAAACTAGTATGTATCAACACTTCAACAGTTACCCTTCTATTCTTTTTTTGAAACTGAAGTGTTTCAGAGAGAGAAAAACACACTCTTTGACATCATTACCAGGGAAGCATTTGTCTGGGACTATGTTTACCAACCTCAGTACTTGGCTGATCAGCTGCAACAACCACACTTGCACCAGCTGTGCCTGAAGCAGTTGCACCAGCCACCCTGGACATCTCCCTGGATTTAGGCTGAAGAATAAAAAGAGAAAAATTAAGAGACAGTTTGTTACATGGCCCTGTGATAAAAATGCTAGAGACAAAACTAAGCAAAACAGAGATGTTCTACTCAGGCATGCACACCCACTGTCCCTCTCACCTACACTCCAAATAACAATGATAATCTGGTCCTACCTATTGAGTGGTCTGCAAGTTGACTAGCTGCAGCTTGCATGACACTGACCACAGCCTTAAACACCCAATACCAAGGCTAAGCACATCTTTTTGGACTCAGCAACTGGCTGATGCACCTGGACAGCATTCAGATGCTTAGGCAGAGTGAGCTACCACCTACCCACAATACTACGGAGACATACTCTGTTTCCAGTGTGATTCTGCAGTGGGAAAGAAAGGATGCTATTTTAAGTGCTCTACCTCCATTTAGTTTTCCAGTAAAAGAAATCTGCAGAGCAGAAATTCTACAAGGATCCTTCCAAGCCTCTTTTAAAAACTTTTGTTTACTCCTGGTAGCTCTTAATACATCATTAAGGCCAGCAGCAAGTGGTGCTCAAGTAGGTAGGGTGAAAACTGCTGCAGGGAGTTAGGTGTGGGAGCATGCAAAATGCAGACTTCTGCATTACTGACACTCTCATTTACTGCAAAAAACAGGTGGGTTGTAGTAGAGCTGCAGGAGTCTTTTGTGTTACCCCAGTCTTGTCACCCAAGACACATGCAGACCAAAAGATCTAGACCCTGAATCTACCACATGCTTTTGCTTCATATTTCTTCTCCACTTGCCCCTTTGAAATGACCCTTCTACAACTTTCAACTTTTTCCCCAGCCTTTCTCATTCTGGTTTGTTTGAGACCCTTGTGGTCAGGGCTGGCCCACTACACTTGGAGCCAACACTGCTACTACAAACATGCCTCAGAGTCCATGGGTGAAGGAGCTCCATGATGGCCATGTTCACAACAACAAAGCATTTACTTGACTGATCCTTCTGGTTCCTTCAGGGTTCCTCCTTTAGACCTCCTTCAGGTTCTAAAGGGTTCCTTCTGTTCACCCTCAGCAGTGAGGGGGCAAAGGAAGATACTGACAAAGACCCAATTACAACTGCATAGCTACAAGGACCTTGCAAAAATATTGAAAAGAACAACAGAGAAGCCCCAAGCATATAACAATCCCATGTAGCGCTCCAGGCTGGGGACAGAGTGGCTGGTGGAGTCAGGTGAGGTTGGTCTCATCTCCCAGGCAACCAGCAGTAGGACAAGAGGGCACAGACTCAAGCTCTGCCAGGGGAGCTTTAGGTTAGATATAAAGAAGAGACTTTTTTTATGGAGAGAGTAATCAGGCATTGGGATGGGCTGCCCAGGGAGGTGGTGGATTCAGTGTCCCTGGAGGGTTTCAAGCTGAGACTGGATGTGGCACTTAGTGCCATGGTCTAGTAACCAGGGTAGGGTTGGACTCGATGATCTTTGAGGTCTTTTCCAACCTGGCTGATTCTATGATTCTACGATATAACACACAGGAAGAGGCCTACAGCTGTGATGCTCTGCATGTCACTCACTTGGCCAGTCGCCAGAGTGTGCTGAAGAACAAAAACAGATGCAGGAAGAGGGCAGCAAAAGGGAGAGGCACATCAGGATCACTGAACAACCAGCACAGACTACCACTGCCATCTAGCTGGGCATCAGCTGCAGCTGATGATTAGCTATTAATGCTGACATGGATTAGCTGGAAGTGGTATATTCAAGATGTAAATTAGTTAGAGAAGTGTAAAGTTTCTAGATTTTAAAGCAGCACCAAGAGGTTCATCACATCCATCTTCAATCACAAGACAGATTTTGAGCTTATCTACATTGTGATTTTTGGGGGCCCAGTCTCACTTTTCCATATTCAGCTTAGAAATCCTTCTTGACATGGATTCTAACTCCTACAATAGCACAAACACTAAAAATTGGTTTTTGCTTCTCCTATACCTGTGCTGTGTCCACAGAGGTTGCTTGTGGAGGCTGCCCAGCTTGAGTTGTAGTTACTTTTCCTGCAGTATTTGGTTTTGAAGCTGTTGTCACAGAAGCTGAGGTTTGGATTTTTGCCTGTGTAGAGATAAACTATTATCATTAGATATCAAAGTCTGTCTTTTTGGGCTTTTTTCATGAATTATTTTTTCAAGTAAAAGATAGAAGAAAAATACCACAAGAAGCCCTTCTTAAAAAAACTTACAGTAAGGGGGGAGAGGGAAATTACACAACTTACATCACTGGGTTCCTTCTGCTTCTCTTCAGACAGCTGTTCATTCTGAGAGTCTGTTGGCTGTCATAGAATAAAAAAATTGAGATAATTCACCCTTTCCACCATTCATTGCCATGGAACATGATCTATGCTAGTTCAGATAAGCAAAAGACAGATTTAAAGATGGTTAACAGATCACTTCTTCAGCTGTCCTGAACAATATAGCATCCTGGCTGTTCCCCCCTGACACTGCATTTCCACGCAGCAATTTTGTGCACAGATGTGTTACTGGTCACACACCAGTTTCATGTGGCACAGGAACAGCAAAGAGTTTAACCTCTTAGTTCAGAGTTCGCAAAAAGCCAAAGTACAACAACTCTGCAAAAGTGAAAGGTAAGTTTTTACCTTGGTTGACAGGGTGTTTTTTCCAGCTCCTGTTGTGGTTGTCAGTGAAGACTGAAATATAAACAACATGTATTCAGACAGAGATTAATAGACTTGGTTATTTCTAAAGTGTTGGATTATATAAAGCAGAATATCATACAGGTTCACATTGGTGAGCACACAGTAACTAACACACAGTGCTTTGATCTTGCAGTTTACAACCTCCTGGCACAGGCTACCAGGCCAGAGATGTAAGCCCACTCAAGGGTGTGCAAACACATACAGACACACACATATACAGCCACATACACAGAAAAGTTATTTCTAAAGTGTTGGATTATATAAAGCAGAATATCATACAGGTTCACATTGGTGAGCACACAGTAACTAACACACAGTGCTTTGATCTTGCAGTTTACAACCTCCTGGCACAGGCTACCAGGCCAGAGATGTAAGCCCACTCAAGGGTGTGCAAACACATACAGACACACACATATACAGCCACATACACAGAAAAACACACACACAAACACATACACACACACACACACACACACACACAGACACACACACACACACTCCTCATATGATGGCTCCAAACGACAGCAAAAGGAGGTAAGAAATATAATGAACAGTTTGATTTGCTGGAATATTAACAACAAAACCAAGTAACCAATACCAAATTCTGAAATAATGTCAAATATTATTTAGCAAATTATATTTTATTAACTCATTTATAAATAACTATCAAAATGCACATACTCCTGATGGAAAATACATTAATTACTTGGATTCAATGGGACATACATGGGTGGGATACATGCAGTTAGCAACCTTATACTATACGTAACAGGAATCTTGTATTTTTCCTCTCTGTAACCTCCTGATGCTCTTATTTCACAACAGTGCTGAACAGTCTGGGTTGGATAGTATTACATGGCTGCACTTCTAGGATTTACACCTCAAAAACTTCTGCACTCATGCTGCAAAATTAATTCCTGTGATTCACCTCACGCCAAACTACAGTAAGCAATAAATTACTACTAATAGAAACAAGTAAGAAGTTAACACTGAAGTTACAGAATAGTTATATCTGATAAAAGAAAGAGAACAACAAATGTCAGGCCCCTCACCATATTTTTATTGCTATTTTTACTTGCCCTTGCTACTCTGTATGTGCTATAATTAAGACAAAAAAAGTCTTTGAACTCTACCTGAGAAATAAAGGGCCACAGGCCTTCTTTATCTCCTCCATCCCAGTAAGGCACTGAGTATATTTAAAGTTACTATCAGACAAATAACAGGGGCTTTTCCCCAGTAAAGTTAGTGAACAACCAAAAATAACTCAGGTGGTAATTTAAATTTTTAATTGCCTTAATTCTAGAATAGTCAAGTTGGAAAGGACCTTAAGCGTCAACCTTTCCCAGTAAAAGCACAATCTACACACAATTGCAGAAGCATAGAGTGCACTCGGTTTGAAGAGACCTCAAAGATCATCAAGTCCAACCCTACCATTGTTGGCACTAAGTGCCACATTCAGTCTCATCCTGAAAACCTCCAGGGATAGTGAATCCACCACCCCCCTGGGCAGCACATTCCAATGCCTGATCACTCTCTCCACAAAGAATCTCTTCCTAATATCCAACCTAAACCTCCCCTGGGAGAGCTTGAGTCTGTGCCCTCTTGTCCTCCTGCTGGTTGCCTGGGAGAAGAGACCAACCCCCACCTGACTCCAACCTCCTGTCAGGGAGTTGTAGAGGTTGATAAGGTCTCCCCTGAGCCTCCTCTTCTCCAGGCTAAACACCCCCAAGGTTGTATGTGTTTCTGTTACATCTACAGCAGACAGACATAAGATGTCCTTCAGCACCAAGACTGTGAAAAATGTGACAGAAACGCAAGGATGAGGTTCAAGAAAAATAGTGTGTGGCTTTTCCTGCTCTGGGACTGCTGTCTGCTCAGGACTTTAAGTATCCTGCTGTCAGAGCACAAAACCAATTTTTTTCTGATGTGCTTTTCAGAAGACTAAACACATCTATTTTGCAGGACAATAAAGTATATTTACTTACACTTCTGTCAACGCCTGACAAGACCTGCACAGAACATCAAATTCAAATTCTCAACCTGCCAAACCAGTTATGAGCAACTGCAAGTCTTTTTTTATACACTGTATATATTATTTTACCAAGTACTTCATGCATCTTTTGTGTAGCGCATGCATTATTCATTATTATCTTTTAAAATGTGCAGAATTGCTCACACTGTAAATTTACCCATGACAATGCTGAAGAATATGTGGCCTCATATGGGCAATGCTTTGATTCGAGACCTTACACACACTAAGGCCACATCATCATAAACACTTACATGCTCACACAGAGAGAGACAAATGTATTTAGATACGCTTTTAGCAATGACAAAGTTCGAATTCAATTGACCCAGGCAAGTCAAACCAACAATTTTAGTACAAGACTGTGTGTTCAAAGGCAACTGTTCAGTCATCCTTTAAACAGAGGCAGCTGTGAGCAGCCACCGCCTGAAGCCATGGCATCAGCTGACAGCCTGCACTGAATTCCTACCGAGATAAAGATGTTCCCCCTCCTCTTCTACTGCCTGCTTCCACCTGCACTGTGCCAGGATCTGAGAGGAGGCACTTTAAACTGTTTCAGGAAGCTGAAAAACACCCTGGGACAGGAAAATGGTGTTTTTTCACTAGTTCCGTAGTTTACAGTGCAGTTGCACAAAGATGTGCAAAAGGAGGACAGCTGAACAGGATGTGTTCTCCAGGGTGGCAGCGCCAGCACTGTGTTTCCTCCATTCCCCCTGCAAAATCCATGCAGTGGCTGCTCTCCAACCTAGTCCTCCAGCCTCCTCATCTAACCCCAGGCTTTGCCTACAGAACAAGAACTTCCACATTCCTTCCTCAGCCACAGCAACCCACAGTTTTCTCAGAGAGGCATATTACCAAGGGTTCATTTGAGACAAAGGATACACACACAGAGAACTGCAAGCTAAGAGGGGTGCAGAGCACATTTAGGAGTAGTAGCACACCAGAGAGACTCCAAGACACACAAATGTGATGTGGTTATAGCTGGCAAATGAGAAAGAGCTGTTAATTTGCTAGAAATTCAGGACTAGAAATTAAAGCAATCTTACTTCTTTTCAAGGAAGTCTACTGTC